GCACTGTAGAGTAGAGGTGTTTGTCACCAGGCCACAGCTGGAACCCAGCAGGGTCTGCGTGTGCCCGTCCTGCCGCCACCACGGCTGCACCCCATGAGATTCTTTGTTGCATGTGGGTGTCAGGATTTCTTTTGTTGGTTTCTTTTTTCTTCCTTTTTTTTTTTTTAATCTCGCTTGCTGTGGGGTAGAAGGAAGGGGGCAAGCAGGCAGTGACGAGCTGCCAGCAGCACTGTGACAGATGAGGGCAAGAGGCCCTGGGAGCCATTTCTCAGCCTCTGTGGCTGCACCCCAGCCCCCACAACCAGGGTAGTTGGAGCACGCAGCCCCCCAGCGCGAAGCAGCGGTGGTGGGGTGTCTCTCCGTACACAGGTCTGCAAACACAGCCTGGCCTGCAGGGGCAGCTGCTGTTTGTTCAGGTGGAACTGTGGCACTAGTCAGTGTTTTTCTGTAAATAAATAACAAGACCCTGAACCTGTGTGCATCATTTCTTCTCCCCTGCTCCAAACCCACAGCACATCTGCCCTTGGGAGAGCTGAGGCCCAGCAAGGGGCCAGAGAGCACAGGGCCATGGTGTGACCTGGAACACCCCCCTGCCTTGGGGGAAGCACTGTCCCCAGCAAAGCAAGAGCCCCTCCCCAAGGGAAAGCCTTTGGGCTGGGGCAGGGGGTCCCCTCCTCACAGGAGCTGGGGGAAAACCCAAGGCGAGGCAGCAGGGACAGAGCAGGGTGTAAGGGCAGCAGCACCTCCAGGACTACATGAATCAGGGAAGTACTGAACCCGTACCCACTCCGGTTCTGCCCATTAACCTCCTCCACACCTCACAGCACAGTTCGCTCATTTTCTCAGTGACGTGCTTTTGGCTTTCCCCAACTACAGCATCACAACTTTTTATTCCAGTCAAGGCTTCAGAAAGAAAACCCCAACCCACACCGCCAGTGTTGCACAATATACATTTGTCACCTCCAACCCCAGTTAGACTTGGTCCCAGGGACACCACACCCAGAAGAACCCTCCTTTGAGCTACCAGCCCCACAGCACGGCTGAAACCTCAGTTTCTCAGGGTAGGAAATGAAGTGCTCTTCACTGAGAAAGATGATGACACATTCTCATGTTACAGCCCAGGGCAGGAAACTCCCTCCAGCAACTGCTCCCGGGAAGGAGATGAAAAGCCAAAGCACGTTCTGGCCTTCAAAGCTGTCCCAGCCTGGGTGGGGCAGTGAGAAGTGGGATCCTCACCCTCTCCCACCATGTCAGTCCTGTACAACAGGCAGCTACAGATTTTATATTAGAGTGCTTGCACTACTGGTGTGCACAGAGTCTTTGACAATCCTGCAGGATTTCCGTGTATTTTCTTACTTCCACCCTGCAGTCAACTCACCAACACAGCAAGAGAACAGTTTGAAGGAGGATGGGGGCGGGGGGGGGGGTACGTGTGTCTCCTCTAGCCAACGCTCT